AACCCGATTATATCAGTAGAGCAATTCAATGGCCGATTTCTGACACACCCATCTGTGTAATCCATCAAATTCCATTTCTCCTGCACTTTTGGATGAAACCCTTTTAAGCACTGGCACGCCGGCATTTGCTCGATGTCGCAGCTCCCAAATGCGCCGCAGAGACCGTACGTGTCGCAGTAATCCCCTGGTACCGACTGGAGTAAAGCCTCGCTTCTCATGAGCTCCTTCGAGCCCTTCCACATCGCCGGTTCTAGGTCGTCGGGGGTTTTTCCGGCGGATAATCGACGGTGGATTCCGTTTCTAGGGAGTAATGGGTCCGTTGGGTAATCGATTCGGCGAATCGGGATGAGGTTGTTGTGCCAGATTCCGAAAAATGGGTTCGTGAAATTTCTTGGGGTTTGCTCGGAAAACCCTTTTTCCGAGACGAAAGTGGCGGGGTTGGTGAGGTTTTGAGAGGGGGTTAAAAAATCAACCGCCAGAGACGGCGGAAAGAAGAGAAAAACAAACGGAAACAGAAATAGAGAGAGATTTACCATTTTTGCATTGGATTTTGTTTGTTATTTGATAAGTGGAGAGGGTGTTCTTCTGCGGAGTTGTATAAGAGCATTGAATTTCATATGAATGCAGTGAAGATTGGAGGCAGAGAAGAAATGAGAGGGCGGCCATTGACTTGGTGGGTTTGTGGACTCTGTTCCTCGTGGTTTTACTTCACTTCAAATTTTGGCTATGCTTTTTTTACTACGAAACTACAGAATATATTATTTTTATGGAAAGAATTTCCTAAAATAATAAAGTAAAAGGTCGGGATTTGAATTTTCTGACCTACCAAAAATTAATTAATCTATTTACGTTTAACCATAATTTAGACATCGAATTCAATCGTTGATGGTTTCAACATTTTTACGTATGTTCAGTAACAGGGTCATGTTACTTTATTGTTTACTTTTCAGGTGTGACTATATCGTGGGTAATTGATGTGATCATTAGGCCGACACAGAAAGATCGCACCATAGAGTAAAGAAGAGGGGAAGAAATTAGGCCAAAATCTAATTCTTTTAACCCTCGAACTCCGACAAGTGGTTGAGTGTTGTCTCTATGGTTGGTCTCTTAGGTCGAGGCCAAGGTTGGTCTCATATGTGGAGCACACGCCCTATATGCCTCTAATTCGTGTGATCCTATCTTAGCTTCATCTTACACATTTACCTCGAAAAAATCAATGAAAACCCTAAAAAAAGTCATAAATATTCCTCTTCCAAATTTTACTACGGTTGCCACCAAGAAGTTAATATAAGATAATTTCTTATGGTATTTTCAGATTTTTACGAAAAAAACCTAAAATTTGTTAGGTTTAAAATCGTTTTAAAATCGTGAAGCTAACGACAATACGTAGTGACCAAAGTGGACAATCATTTGTTAGCGATGAGTTTGGGCTGTTACACATGGTATTAGAGTTAGATATCGAGCTTTGTGTCAACAAGGATGTTGAGCCCCCTCACATTCCTTGTAGAGGTGTGGAAACCTCTCTCTATAGTAAACTCGTTTTAAAATCATGAAATTGACAGTGATAAGTAACACGCTAAAGCAAACAATATTGCTAGTGGTGGGTCCTCACATGAAAACTCTTTTGTGTTACTTACATTTCTACGAAGAATTATGTTAAATATAAATTTGACCAAATTAAATTGGAAAGCAACGTAGCGGGTCGTTAGGGTAGCCAAGACCATATTGACAAAATATATTTTTGTTCGCTATACAATTATATACCCATATTTTTATTTAATTTAATTTTTTATTATTTAAGTTGTAAATTTTAATTAAAATTTGAAAATAAATAAATAAATATTTTACGAATTATTATTTATTTTGATTAAAAAATATCGACAAGAGTTGGGTCTAAAAAAATGCCCCAATTTAACCCAATCAATCTAAAAATATCTTAAATTAGTTTTAAAAGCATATTATAAAATAAAAGTATATAAATAAATTAATATAATCCTTTGAAAAAGAAATTTATTAATTATAAATCATTAAATTGAACAATTCTAAGTCAAAGTCAAGGCTTTGAAAATGAGGCACTCATTTGAATTAACATGTGGCTCTTAATCACAAATAAAATATCATTTTCACTCGACTCTTATGATTTAGGAAGAAATCATCTTTGACTTTGATATTAAGAACAATAAAATAATCCAAATTTGATAGGACAGTTTACATTATAGATAGAGTCATTGTTAGTTAAGCATATATTTTTAGTAGAGATGTCTATTTAATCTACGGGTTGCGATCGAGACCCTACGAGTACTCATCTCAAATAGTATAACAAGAATTGAAAGATCGAAACCCTAAGAAAAGTACACGAATGAACTATGACTACATTTGAATAAGAGCAATCCTGAAGTTAGTATTAAAATTAATATTCAAATATATGTTTAAATTTGATTTATTTAAAGGGATTTTCGTTTGAGTTTGGAATTTAATTACGAAATCAAATGTTTGAACAAAATGATGATTAAAGTGTAATTAAAAAGTTAAGTGTGATTAATTATCTAAAATTTGAAAATTGGAGGAAATTGAGTGGAGCCCACAACTGAACAGAACGCGCGTAGTTGATTGGGCTGTAATCAGATTCGACGTCCCAAAAAAGCAGCTATAAAGTTGGGCCGCGGGGATTATTACCCAACTCAAAATTTTTAATTTTTTAAATAAAAATAAAAGGTTAGTTAGTAAAATATTTATTATATTTTTTTTAATATTTAATTAAAATTTTCAATATACGTTTTAAAAATAATAAATATATATATATATATATATATATATATATATATATATATATATATATATATATATAAAAGAAAAATTCATAATTTTTATTTATTTATTTGAAATCAATTCAACTTAAATAAGTTCATATTCTAACTTATCCGGATGTCGGATTAGGTTAATCATGTTTTTTTCAACTATCAAATTCTTTAAACACTCCTAATCTATTTTTCGTATCGATATTATTTTGAATGTAATTAAAGCTATTTAATTTTTATTTTTAAACTTTATTCTAGAGGATAAAAAGATCGTTAAAATTCGAATTTGAAATCATAAGAAAATAAGTAAATCGAAGTTAAGTATTTGTCGCATCACTCTTTTTTAATTTTAATAAAAGGGTAATTTTGAAACCATGTTTAAAATTCAAAAGTAAAATAATAATGTAAATTTGAGATATATTTAATATAATTCAAGCATTAATATGTGGGGCTTGAAACTCAATTTTTTTCTTTATATATAATTTTATTAAATTAATAAATTATGATATTTGTATTTTTATTTTTAAAAGTTTAAATATATATATTTTAAAAATATTTATAAATTTTATAACATTAAGATATATATATATTTTAAATGTTAAAGTTATAATTTCGTACCATATATCTTTAAATTAAAAAGTTTCGTCTATATATTAATAATAAAATATATTAAATTATTAATAAAATAAAGGGTATAATAATAATAATAATTATTATTATTCTTTTGAAGATACTACTAAATAAGATATTACTAAAATTATAAAAGTTAAGACAAATATTAAAAAAAAAAAAAAAAAAAAAAAAAAAAAAAAAAAAAAAAAAAAAAAAAAAAAAAAAAAAAAAAAAAAAAAAAAAAAAAAAAAAAAAAAAAAAAANAAAAAAGGAATTTGAAAAGGGGTTGGGTGGGGCCCAGATGAAATAGGAAAGTGTGTGGGTAATGAGGTGGGCCCCACAAGTCTGAATTTTAATTCGGAGTTTAAAATTCCCCGTTTAAGTCTCTTCTTTTATCCTCCACACATTCCACTCTCTCTCTCTCTTTCCGCCACGTATTTATTCCAAATATTCTCGTGGCACCGAATCCTCCTTTACCCCTTCTTCATATCTCCACCTCACCATCCCAGATTTTCTCCAATCTCTCTCCTCCACGTCACACCTCCCCCCCACGTGACTGATTCTGCCATCTCATCCTCCTCCCAAACATGGCCACCGTTGCTCCACGACAGTGCCTCCCAAGCCTCTTTTGCAGCTTTATTATTTTAATTTTAGTACTAAATTACAAATTTCTTTTCCATAATTCTATTTTTTTTCAATTTCATAAATTATTTTTAGGATTTTACAAATCTGTAATTTCCTATTTTTTATATTATATAATTGAACAAATTTAGGTTTGAGCGAATTAATTATTGAATAAATTTGATAAAATTTATAAATTTCAACCAAATTTTGATTTTAATATAATTTAAAAAATTATATTAAATTTTCAATTGCATACCTATTTTATAATTCATGAAAGACATGAAAATAGTTTTAAAATAATGAAATTAAATAAAATTGAAAGTAAAAGTCAAAAAAAAAAAAAGACAGAATGATTGCGGGACAACTGGAAGGGCAGTAATCTGGTGAAACGCAGTTGCCACGTAGGCGTACGGTGATGGAGTTAGAGAGAGAGAGGGTTCAGGTGGTTTCACGTGGCAAATGTTCATCATGACCATAGCGCGCCACGTAGGATGGAGTTCGAATCTTCAGGCTCTTCAGCGTTTGCTGACACGTCACCACAAAATCCCAGGAAGCGGAAAAGAAATATCTCGGAGAGCGAGTCACTGAAATCGACTCCACAAGATATCTAAAATTTATAAATATATAAATATAAATAATATTTTAAACTCTCCATGAGAAGTCGACACGTGGCAACACGCTTGCCGTACGAGTGGTAGACGCCGAGTCAGTAGAAAATGGAGAAATGATCCTGTGCCAACTGCTTAAAATCACCAACCCCACAGGATTACGCCACGTGTTAGTTCTGCAGCAGGTGGAAGGAATCTGAGCCTGATTAGTCCACGTTGATGGCTCCCGGGAAGCGGTTTAAAGATAATTTGTATTTGCGTTGGGGAGTGAAATATCTGAAATAGCCCTGAGAAATAATTATTTTTATTTTTATTTTATTTTTATTTATGTAAAATAGGGTGGTATTTAGAGCGAAGATGAAGGGCAGTTCCCCTAATGTAAGGAGCTTGTACTTTCCCCTTCCTCTCCATTTATTCTTGGCCATTTCATTTCATTCCGATTGAACTGATTGAAGAGATAAAAAGGGAGATCGAGAAGAAGAAATCAGAGGCTGAGAAATCGAAGAAGAAGAAGAAGATCGGGGAATCGGAGATTTTGAACAAGAAATGATGAAGTGCGAGCTGTGTGGGCAGCTAGCGAGGACTTTCTGTGAGTCCGATCGGGCGAACCTATGTTGGGACTGCGATGAGAAGGTTCACTGTGCTAATTTTCTCGTTGCTAAGCATTCTAGGAGTCTTCTATGTCGTGCGTGTCAGTCGCCGACTCCATGGACGGCATCTGGTCGGAAGCTTACGCCTACGGTTTCTGTGTGTGAGGGATGTGTTGAAGTCCATGGTGGTAAATGCGAGCAAGGTGGATATCAAGAGCGCCGTAGAGATAACGAGGAGGAAGTTAATGATGGGGATGATTTTGACGATGGTGAAGGTTTCGGGAGTTATGAGGGAGGTGATAGTGAGGATGATGATGAGGATGACGATGAGGAGGAGGCGGTGGAGGAAGAAGAAGAGGATGAAGACGGAGAAAACCAGGTGGTTCCGTGGTCTTGTGCGTCTTCTTCGACGCCACCACCACCACCGACAGTGACTTCTAGCAGCGAGGGCGAGATGTCAGCTTGCGCTGGTGGCGTATCGAAGCGGAGGAAAGAGTACGACGTCGATCTCGATTCCGAGGTATGTATTTATGGATTTTTCTTCTTTTGCTGCTTTCTTTTCTTTTATGTTCTTACTTTCCTTGTCTGTGCGGAAGGAAAACGTTGTGGATTTGGAATTCCTTTGTCCGTTCATTTTCTTGTCTAGAATCGGTTTTTTGAAAATATGATAGCGATTTCGGTTCTCTTAGTGAGTGAAGACTCAAGATTAGGGCCGAATCTCTCTATTTCATGAACGATACGAATTTCATCCTTCAGAACCTATGATTTTGCACATAATCATTTTTGATATCCCGATCTGAAACATCATCAACATTCTCTGAGTTTTTAATTTCCCAGTGATCCAAACAGAATTTTAATAATCGTTTGCCGTTTGAATGCAGGACGAATTCGAGTGTTCTTCTGCTCAACAAGGAACCAGGCCTTCTTACAATGACGAAGCGACTTCCTCTACTTCCCACAGGCCACTGAAGCAAGCAAGAGTTACAGGACCGACCCAATCAGCCAGCATCATCCCCGATGATGAAGCTCGTAAAGCAGATTTAAAATCCACGGCTGTCATTAGATCGATCCAGAGTCTCCAGAATCGTCTGCCCACCGGTATCAACGATGCTTCCAAACTGATTTTTGGGATATGCAAAATGAGCAGAGATCAGAATCGTTGATCCTTCACTAACAACATAACGGAGGTAGCTAGGTTTTTGAAATCCTTTTGGGTTTCATCTTTTTTCATTTTTCTTTTTCTCACTAATGGTCTGTCCTGATCGATTAATTCTAGGATTATATTTGTGTACTCAACTGTGTACAACCTGGAATATCCTTCTATTTTCCATTAGATCTGTTATCATTTGTGAAGCCTTGTCATGTTTAGCCAGATATTAATTCACTGAACCACATTCTATTAACAGATTTCTCTACACTTTTGAGTCTTTTGCTGATCCATATCTCAGTCAATGTTAGTTAGTTGTTCATAGTTAGTTTCTCGCGTTTTAGTTGAGTTTTGTAGGTCTCCCACGACCAGGAGATATGAAAATGAATGCTTTCAAAGCAAGAATCATTACTAAACCCATATCACCATATCTCTTTTAGAAGCCCTCGTCATCAACTCCCACAACCCAACATTTTTCTAGGTCCAGGAAGCCACTTTTAGGGATTATTTTGCTTGCATATTCAAGATCGAACTGAAAGCAATCATATCACCTGATATTATTTAATCTCCTCCAATCCTCCTTTTGCTGCCTGTCTATGATTAAAATAGTAAGATCATGGCCGACCTTGTGTTTGATGGAATCTCCATGGCCATATTCTTTAAGCGCAGCATCTCCATCTTCTGGGAAGTATCTTAGATGGGTCTGTTTGGGAAAAAACCCTCGACTTTTCCAACTTTTCCAATCCATAGTCTTCAAATCTGGCCAGGTGTCGATAAAGAATGGTTCTTGTTTCTTTTGGAATTGCCAATTCCTTTTAGGTCGAATTAATGTCCATTGGATTATTGAGTGGTTCAAATCTTCTCACTATTTAAGACTTCCCTGTTCAAAACCATGACTAGATTCAGGCCATGGCCATGGGTCGACTCCAATCCCTTGATGTTAACAGATATTTCAAACAATTTCCACGATACCCATTTGCTTTTTAGAAGACCATCTTTAGCCATAAGTTTTGATAGAGAGGGGAGAGAGAGAGAAAAAGAGAAGAGGGGTTCCACTTAGAAAAAGGATAGAGCTTTCCTTGCCACTCGTTTGGTTTTTTGACTGATGGCTTGAAATATCAGCTGCCAAGGGATATTTGTGTGGTTGAGTGTGTGCTGGCGTAGCAGCTGTTAAATGTATTTTTTTAGGCTGTGTCTTGCTTATATGAGGCAAGCAGGTGGATGGTTATATAGTCAATTGTTGTTAGGTATCCATAATTTTCTTCAATAAATCAAATTAATTGTGGGTTTTGGTTATTTCTTGAGTTTACACTCTTTTTTGAGGAAGAAATGAGTGCACAGCAGGAACTGGTTGTTGGAATTCAACATGATTGAGTTTGATGTTACTTTTTTCTGGTCAGCCAAACTGGATTTTCTTGTTGAAGATTATTATTTCAGATCTGTTGAGACTGAGCCTTGCTTTCTTTAGAAGTTATATTTCCTCTGGGTTCCCTTTGGTTTTTCTTTTGGGTAATTTTTTTTTTACATCCGTAGCAAACCACGTTTTAAAGCTTTCAAGGATCCTCTTGAAGGGAAGTTTAAAAAGGACACTTTCAAGAATCTTCTTGAAGGGAAGTTTAAAGAGGACAACATTGGCTAGTTGTGGACTTTACGATAAGAAATATGAAATTCAAGCTCATGTGACAAGTCATGTATCTGAAAAAATCACTAACGAAATCCTACATCCAGAAGCTCGCTTACTCCGAAATTAACGCCTAAAGAATCACCATATGCCCTTGACCCGAAGATAGATTGAGCGGGAACTAATAATGGGGATTGATGCAGTTATTGTGCTTACACTTAAATGGTTTTTATATTTTTTAAAATAGTAAATAGATGAATAAGGAAGGAAATAGTGAATCATTAATGGTAAATGTCTCAAATAAATCTGTCTAAAACTCTGTACAAAATGTTAAATTGTAATAGTACTAAATAAATAGCTTTAGCTCCAAGAATAGATGACTATGTTGGCTGTAATTGTAAGAGATGTGAATAGAAGACTGTGTTGGTTGTAATTGTAAGAGATGTGAATTTCCTTGTCTATGTTCGCGTTTATTTAAACAACTCGAAGTATGGATCTAACTTATTGATACGTTCTCGAAAAGCCCCTTGAATCCATTTGATTTTTTTTTTACCGACAAAAACTTGCTTGAAAATGAAATAAATATATATAAAATTAAAGTTAAATTATTAATGGTTTGTGTTATTTGTTTTTTCTAAAATAGATAATAAAGTATTTTTTTTTAAAAAAAAAGTAAGGTTACTAAATACAAAATTAAAGTTAGGACATAAAATTGAATTTATATTTTACTAAAAATATGTAATTTTTAAAAAAGGAAAAAAAAAAAAGAAAGGAGCTAAAATTTGAACCATAGAAAAGATTTGTGGCAGCCTTAATAATCAATTGTTGTCAGATACGATACGATTCAATTTCTAAACGTCTCTTTTAAGAAGTTGAAAATATCAAACCTTTATTTAAAATATTGTCTAATTTCTAAATAAAAATAAAGGCAATTAATTTTTTAACTAAAACCAAATACAGAAAAGGTTTATCTTTATTATTATTATTTTTTTAACTTAGTAAATCGATTTTTGAAAATTAAAATTTTTGTACTTTTTAAATTTGATAATATTTTTTGAATTTATTTGAGAATTCGAATGTGTTTTCAATAAATAAAAAATAAAAATTTGTGATGGATCAAACATAATTTAAAAAAAAAAATGGTTAAGATAAAAAAAAAAATCATAAAATAAAAAATTAGGTAACGAACTGTCTAAATCAAACCCACTTAAAAGCATTTAACAATAAAAAAATACTCATAAATATTTAAAATAATAATAATAATAATGGAAGCTATTGATAGACTAAAATACCCCAACTTATTTAGAGTTAAAATTTAATAAATTTAATAAATTAAAAGTATAGTATTAAAATTAATTTACACTTAAATGTATAAACAGAAACATTTATGGGCAAATATTTATTATTATTTTTTAAAAAATAATTTAAAAAAAAGATTGAAATATTGGACATGAATTAAAAATTAAAATATTATTGAGTTGTAACATATGGGCAAATCATTATTTTATTTTATTTATTTAAAAAAGAAAAGGTAGGATTAGCCGGCATTGGGATGGGACAGGGGACCAAAGGATAAGTTATGGGTCAAAAATTGGGATACCCCAAAGGCCTAACTTATCACATCCCATAAATTCAATCTTATATATAAAACCCTAAAGCCTTGAGGATTGGATTTTGCTTATGAACCTAAATATGGAAATCGGGTTCGACATCGAAAAAAACCATATGATTTCATAATTCTTCGTATTCTATTTTCAATAGTTCCTGGGCTCCTCAGTTCAAGGTAATGTCCTATGCTTGCTTTTTACATACAACCACTTACACAAATAAGTCACCATTATTGATCACAGTAATATGCAACATAGATAGACAAATCATTATCATCATCTCACAACAACAAGTGGCTGAAAAAGAAGATAAAAAGAGAGAAAAGTACGAACACAAATGCAGTCGTTCTTACCTCATATATTCTCAATCAAAAAACTAGATTGAAGTATGTACTACAATAACACTAAGAGTTTTCCCGACGCTCGTACCTAACAACAATACAATTACCTATCCATCCATCATCGAAAACTAGATAGAGTGGTTTATGGGAGTAATTTTAAGAAGGGGGATGATAAAAGCATTGAATGAAGGGCTAAGGGGAGATTTTTGGCATTGGAGAACAAAGGAAGTGGGGGTATATTTCACAATTCAACCACTGATGAGAAAAAGAAGCAACATATCAAATTTGTTCCAAGATTTCAGGAGATAATTAAACGTGGCAAAAGAGCGACAAAATGTTAATTGATGATATCAAAACAATAAAACAATTTGAAAAGGGGCAGACATCAACTTCAAATCATTCACACATATTACTTTCTTATTCACCGGTTTCTTCATCTCGGATAACAGGGGATAGGGGCTCTGTTATTCAGACTCAAAACCCATAATCCACTTTGCTTCTCACCTAATCACCATGACACCCCAGCTTTTCAACACAAACTACATCACGAAATGCAACGAAAATCAAACAAGGATATACACAGATTTTAGTTGCATAGATATATAAACGCAATACTTACTTGCATCAGTCTCTGACGTGGATATTACCAGCTAAACACCTGTGGAAGCCAACAAGGACAACATACAGGGACAACATGCTGTCACTTCTTGATATCATTTTACAAAGTCAAACAGAACACAACAAAGCTCGGATATTGTAGTCTAGTAGACTACAAAGAACAAATATAATCTACATAAATTAGTTTGGATATCAGATCAATATAATCCATACATTTGTTAGTCTATATCCCTATAGAAAAACTTGGCTTCTTTCAATAAGAGAGACACTTTTCACCCTTCCCCCAAAAATGTCTGAGGTTAAGGCAAGCCTAAGAATAAAATGGGAAACAGAAGAACCTTGCACCCCACAAGTTTGCACACCAAGCAAGGTCACAATTTCACCTAACATATATTCTCTTGTTTATAAGAAATCAAGCGTCCCAGGAGAAAAATCAAAGAATGTATGAGTATATATATATATATATATATATATAGAAAACAGTCCAACACGGGAGTGTCCAAAGACCTACAGGAAGGGACTCCAACCTAAAAGGATAAGACAAAGTTGATAGTTATAAAAAGCTTTATTAACCAAGGCCCACAGCGAGGTATTGAACCTAACAACCTCCCATAACTCCACGTGCCTCTAAAAAGCCTACCATTCCTCTCAAGCCGAATCTCCAAGAAAAAATGGCAAATAAGCATGCCAGCCAAAGAAGGCCGCATTCTCCCTTGGGGAGACAGCAAAATCTCCTCCATCCAAGCCTTACAATCCTTGTTCCATGCTCTAACAAGACTCCAAAAGCATCCTCGAATGAGGACTATATTGACTAAGCATAAAGTACAACCCAAAGGATATAATAAAGGTTCTTAGATGCAACTTTGCAATGGGAGCACCTTAGCAGCCCCCTAAGGAATGGTGAATCTCTGCACTCAGTCTAAGGTGTTCACCCTTCTATTCAAGACTTGTCTGGCAAACAACATAACCTTCTTGGAGAACTAAATCTTTCCGAGAGAAGAAAACAAAAGGGTGATGGGAGAGGTGAGGCAGTTCGCAGAAGACATAAGCGAATTAGAAGGGAAGCCCTAGGAAGGAGGAGAACAATGAAAATATTCACGACCCTGAGGAATGAAGGAGTCCCTTAAAAGCAAGACCAAAGAGGCAGCATCCTATGACACTCCCTATTACATATATTTAATCCCGAGATATGTGAATCCTATCTTGATTGGCCAAAAAATCCTCCCTCCTAGATTAGAAGAAGACGTTGTTGTCACTATACTGCAAGCAAGTAGCGTATATCCTCCTTTAACCAAATCAGAGAACTGAACAAACTCTCACAGGTTCAGAAAAATAAAAATGACTGAAAAAAAATACTCAGTGAGCAACTTTCACACTTTAAAACACATTTTCCTTCCAAAGTATTTATTAAGAACATGAAAAAAACAAGCAAATTAAGGATCACAAAATTCTCGATCAAAACATGCATGGTTATTCATTGATAATGCCATGAATCAATCAGGAGTACATAACAATCACTTAAAAAGTGTGGAACTCATGTAAGTGAATAACACACACTACCTTATATTTCGAAAGAATGGTAGTTACATAATTTGATAGTAAAAGAATGTAATTAATAGCTGAAAATTTTTGCCTCGAGTAATAATAACTAACAGAGTACAAGAACTGTTGGCTGTTCTTTGTCACAAATGGTAAAGCTAAATATTGAAATTCCCCATTTATTTCTCTGTTTTCCTCTGCTATTTTATAGAACCCACGCACCATGAATGTAAAGCCTAACTTTGCTGCCTACAACTTACTCTCGGTCCTAAATTATTATATTTTAAAAGTCACAAAATGTTGGATTTAAAAGCCTATGCTACCTCTTTCTTTCAAAATGAATTAATACAATTGAGCCAATGTGTCAAAGATCGCAATCAAACTTCATCCACAACAGTGCTTCTCTAAATTTAGCTTAAACCAATACAAATGTTTAAATTGACCAGAAGGAATTAAAGATAAACAAAATATATACATAACACACACGTATATCTACACCTATGCATTAGAATGCAATAAATAAATATTCAACTAAAATTTTATCCTATCTAAATTTCAAATAAATTTCCTGCCAAACGATAATTTCTTTTCTTTTACAAAGGGCGACAAAATGTAATTTCTTTTCAAACCTATCTTTGATAGGTTATTTCAAACAAATTTCAAGTCGTTCAAGATTATTTTTAAACAATGGGTAATATATACGCCATACTAACCAAAATAAAATAAAATAAATCCATTACAAAAGAAATATATAATAAAATAAACTTATATATGTTCAGTCATCAAGAGGGACTTGAGACTCCAAACAATCAATTCATAATTCATAAAGCCAATTTTCCTTTTGAAAGTAAATAAAAAGAATTAAAATATCAAAATAGTAAACTTTTTTGTGGTGCATTAAGAACACAGGGATAGGAAGAATAAAAACATAAAGATCGCTCCCAATATTTTAACATGCAAGGGAATGATAAATTTCCATCTTCGGCAGAAACAGGGCGTACTCGCACATCCATTCACGATAACAGGCACTTGAATCAATAAACTAGCATTTATACTACAACAATAAATACAGGCAGTCTCTAGAACAAAATTTGGCTGTGCACCATAACCATGAGCTCCTACTTACTATCAAACCATGCTTATATTTCTTTGATCAAATATTAATGGATTCACTTATTAAAATGCAATATAATAAACCAACAAATTTTCTCCTAAAAAGGTAAAAAGTTTATGTCGGCGAGTTCTATTATTTTCTCTATAGTATCTTTCAAGTCTCAACTCCCCCAAATACCATGTAAATAGTTTGGTGGCTTCTTATATCAGGCTGTTGTATGTCCCTTCCATATTCTTTCAAATTATTTTAAGAAAGTTGGATCCTCGTGGAAAAGAAAAAAGTACCATGTTAATGCAAGAGTAATTGCATACATAACTTTAGTTAGAAAAGGATTTAGATAATTTACACCATGATTAGGCAACTATAATAATATGCTCCCATAAAAGAGGAAAAGATCAACCCCCACAAAGAACTTATCAAATCTTTCTAATCAAAAGGTTCAAAGATCAGCTCTAATAAACTTCACAAAGAGATTTAGATTTTTCTTTGAAAGGATGACAGCTGAAGCCAGTTAAAGAAAGCTATTCATAATCATTGAAAGAACAAAATGCTTATCAAAAGAGAGATGGCCCAACATTCTTCATTATATTTGCAAATTAAGCACCAATTACGGGGAAAGACGACTGTATCCAAAATCCAACATGAAAACGTTTACTTTCTTAGGGCTATAAACATTCCGAGTCCATTTGCGAAGGTATGGATCAGGATACAAAAATGCTTGGGAATATCTAGCAAAAAGCACTTACAACTGAAATCATCTGAGAGGAAGAAGGTAGCACCTACTAATGAGTAATGAGGTCTGTAAGTGATATCCATTTGGCAGTCTCATGATTGTTGAAGCTCCTTTTGAAGGCTAAATCACAAGGAGACGACTTAAATTTCCACACAAGATTGATAAGATACTTTTTACTGTTTGAGTATCCTTGCAATTGTCAATCCAAAGATCCTCCTAGAATTTGATGTTTTCGATATTGCCTCACTACCAACTTATTCAGTCTACAAGAAGATTCTTCATTTAAAATATGTCCTTCCACAAACCTTTAGAATGTTTGACAAGGAAAAGCCTAGACCGCTAATCTCCTCATAAACTTTGTATTTAGAAGTCACCGCTTTCCTCCAAACAGCATTTTTCGCACAGGAGAATCCACAAAGTGATTTATAAGATGATATTGAATCTTGTATTACCTATTCTAAGACCCCTAAGAAAATTTATTGTCTTACTTTTTTCCAGTTGACTAAATACGCACCTTCTTCCTTCATGTTACAATCCCAATTTAAATATCTTATAAGCTTCTCAATACTATAGACGCCTTTTTTAGACATGAGAGAAACAGACATTTAGCAAGTTGGAACTTGGGAGGGTGAGGAAAAGAAAGAATAATACTTGAAAGAGTTAATGTATCTTCTTTAGAAAGGACTGAGCTCTTCCAATCCATCCTCTCCATCTAGGGACAAGATCTTTAGCTTCAAGGGTAGAACACAAGAAACTCTAGCCAACATCATAAAGATCTTTTTTTAAGATCAAATTTCAACTTCAAGTAATGTCTTCTGAATATCAAACACACAGCATGTACATTTGGGGAATCAGCCGTGTTCCCAATGTGGCAGGCAAAGGAACTTTGCGAAAACATCAGTCACTCGAGACAAGAAGAACTTTGAACTGTCATTATCAGAATTTAAGCACCCATGGAACATTAAAAGAAGAATTTAAGAGGCATCTCATACTAATTTTACTCGGAAATGACATTTTTCTAATATCCCGAAGGTCATGATCACCAAATCCTAGTTTCCCATATATTGAGAGTAAATCCGCAACCGCAATGCTCTCTTAATAGAAGTTACGAGATGTACTAAGCATAAATTCAAAAGTACTCAGGAAATTATAATAACATTGCGATAATCGCTTCTAGTTTTAGAAATCAAGCAAAGACCATCATCAGTAACAAGGTAAAAACCAATCTCAGGGAAAAGAGATGCCTGACCTTTCGGCTCCACTTCCTCTGCTGCAGATTTTTTCTGGGCGTCATCGTCCTTTTTCGCTACAGCTACAGAACCGCTACCGATCCCAACATCTTTCTCGTCAGGAAAACGCACCACCACTACAGGACAAGCGCAATGATGCACACAATAATCGCTAACGCTCCCGAGCCCACTGTCATTTCCACGCTTCGCAGCACCAAAACCCCGACTGCCCATGATCAGGGCATTCAGCCCCAATCTCTCCACTTCCAAACAAAGTCTCTCTCTCATATCATGATCCTTCACTATGTGAATCTTGTACGGAATCTGAACATCTTTCAAAGGCTTAGCTAAATCAGCAGCTTTGGAGGCAGTAAATGCATCGAAATCGTCCTCCATTTTACGTTTTGAGCGCTCGGTGCGGTTCTGCCGATGACTGTTTTCAGAATTCGCAGCATCCTGATCGTCGGGATTATCACCGGGGATATCGAGAGTAATGTCAATAGAGCCCCAATCGGCGCCGAAGAGGACGGAAGTAGGGCTAACATGGAGGAGAATGACAGCATCACCAGGGCGAATGTAGTGTTGAACAGCCCAATGAACAGCATAAGCACTCTCCTCGGAAAGGTCAACAGCCACCCCAATCTTACGGCGGGCACCAGCGGTGGGGGTGGGGGTGGCGACGGGAGTAGAGGTGGAGTGATGGCGAGGGGAGGCAGGATGGTGAATTTTGATGTTGGGTAGTTGCGGGTCAGGTTCTAAGGAGGGATTTCGAAGATGGTTCAGCGAATCCATGGAGAAATCAAATTTTGGTATAGAGAAATTCTGAGAAATGGAAGAACAGCAGAAATTATGGAAGAACAGGTCAGAAGAATGGAGGAGTAAAATAGAAGAAATGGAAGATTTGAGAGAATGTTTAGGGGAGAAATTTGTTTTAATGGGCTGTTCTTAATGGGCTTAATCAAGGGCCTCTCCTAATTTATGGGCCCATGTTTTTTTAGAGTCTAAAAATTAAGATAATATATCGTGGGACAAATAGTTCGTTAAAATAAAACGAAAAAATTGATAATTTCCCTCACCACACACACACACACATTTTTTTTTTCATGTTATTTTTAAAATGGCACTTAATTTTAGGGTTTTTTTTTTCATGAAATAGTTGATTTTTTAGGTATATATTACATTAAAAATAATTAATTTTTACTCAACCGAGTAAGGACACTATTAAGTCAACCAACTCAAAACCTCAATAATACAATGGGCCTATATGAAAATCTCTTCCCGATCATGGAGGACGCTTACTATGAGATCCCACATCGGTTGGAGAGAAGAACGAAGAGCATTCATTATAAGAGTGTGGAAAATTTTCCTTAACAAACGCATTTTAAAACTGTGAGGATGATACGTAACGAGCCAACATAGACAATACTTACTAACGATGGGCTTGAGTTGTTACACTTATGATCAATAAAGTAAGCCGAAGTTGACAAGGTAAGGGCTCAGAGATGGATTGCCAAAAGCTCTACTAAAGATGCGTGAATAAACCTCATCGGCAACCCGAGAATTCTTCTCGAACTATTGAGGTGAATAACTAATGACGTGTCAAAATGTGCTAGAAAAAAGCAAGTCAAAAGGGAGAGCTACAAATTCTTCCCTTCATATTGGAAAGAAATTCATAATTACTCACAAAAACTTGAGCTCTAAGGAAAGCATCAAAACAGCTAAGTCAAAAGAGTAATATCCTCCAAACTTTGTTCCTAATCCATTACCTACCTTTATTGCTTGATTTAGAGACCGTTTCCGACAGAAAAACAAATGAATACAAAGATTTTCAGAAACTGCTCTTAAGTCTAGTCTCACAAAAATGGCAGAGGGAATTCTAAATGATAGAAGAAATAGTTTAGTTCTAGTAAGGATCAAATCCCAACCCCACATCGATGGGAGAAGGGAACAAGTGTCACCGAAGACGCTGAGTCCCTAAAGGGTGTGAGATCTCGCATTGGTTGGAGAGGGAAACGAACCATTCTTTATAAAGGGTGTGAAAACCTCTCCCTAGCAAACGTGTTTTAAAAATCTTGAGGAAAAGCTAAAAAAGGACCGTATCTAACTAGTGGTGGGCTTGGATGGTTCCCAACCTATAAAAGTGTAAGGTTATGCCCCTAAGGGAGGATGAGCAACAAACAACAAAGTACACCCTTGTCACCCACAAAGTTATGCTAACCTACCAGCCAATTCACAATTGATACCAACCACCGGGTATTTCTCCCACAATTCATTCTAAACCAAAAATGAAATCAACCATGTGAACAATCATATCTAGCAAAAGAGTCCTCCCTCCAAGGTCGAAAGACCCATCGTCGTAGGAAATCATTGAAACATCATATACACATAGCAATCGGAACTTGAATACAAATATCATAATATGCATCGAGTATAATTCACTAAAAATGTAAAAATTTGCTTCTATAGATAAAGAAAAACTTGCATTCATACTACATAGATGATAGAACAAAACATGACTTAACAGCAGTAACTGTGACCCCTGCTTCCGAAATATGGTAATCGAGATCTACTAGTTTATTACATGTATAATAAACAAGTTAAAAGTTACATTCCACCTAAAATATGACAGTAGAAGCTCTTACCTAGGTTGCCAAGTTATGTTCTTTTCAATATTAAGTCCTTCCATCTTCCTTCCCCAAATTGGATGTAGAGAGATTAGAAAAAGAAAAAAAACAACCAAAACAAAAACATTCATATTATGTCAGTAAATGAATCCATGTTTCTGTATGAATATTTCTCCCTAGCAAACGAAACATTCTTTATAAGGGTATGAAAATCTCTCCCTAGCAAACGCGTTTTAAAATCGTGAGGCTGACAGCAATACGTCACGGATCAAAGTGGATAATATATCCTCGTGTCTACCCCCCTTCAAAGAACCGTAAGAAGGCTGGCACATCGTCCGGTGTCCGGGTCTGATACCAATTGTAACAGCCCAGATTCACCGCTAGCAGATATTGTCCTCTTTGAATTTTTCCTTTCGGGCTTCCTCTCAAGGCTTTAAAACGCATCAGCTAGGGAAGGTTTCCACACCCTAATAAAGGGTGTTTTGTTCTCCTCCTCAACCAATGTGGGACATCACAAGTGGACTTGGGCTGTTTGATTGTAATGTTTTAACCAATTGAGGATGCTTGGGTTGGCAAGAGCTAAACCGGGAATTAAGGACGCCAAGGCATTAAACTAGAATACTAAGTTTAGGGTGAGTTTAGAATGACTTTTGATAATAGCATTTTCAACTGAAGAAAGAACAGTCATTTTCAGAGTTTAATCATCATTATAACATAAAGGAAACAGTATTTCATTATAAGTTTACTCGGAAAAGATTTTCTCTCAGTATCCTAATTCCTCAACAGCATTATCAGCAAATCACAGATTCCTCTGTACCGCTTCAAGATCATCATGCAACGTTGCTCTTTTGATAAGAAACGTTCATTCAAAATGCTTAGCCAATCCAGTTGAAAGTATATATAATCAACATATAATACGTTCAGCCTTCAACTACACATAACATAATTACATTAAGTTATTGAAAGCAAGAACAGAAACAAGTCCGCCATAGCCATGCCCTTCTAAACTAACATGAAAATGGAAAATACTTAGCAAATTTATAACGTTCTAAGCATATTCAACTTCACTCGAATGGAAAACTAAATTGAATCGATTCTGGAACCCATAACAATACAAGAAGCAGCAAACAGAGATATCTAACCTTAAGACTCCACCGCTTCCTCTGCCTCGGATTTCATCTCGGCGTCGTCCTCCTTCTTCAGCGCCACCACAGCGCCGCCGTCCTTCTCGTCCGGAAACCGAACCACTACCACAGGACACACACAATGATGAACACAATAATCGCTAACACTTCCAAGCCCACCGTCGTTACCGCGCTTCGCTGCACCAAAGCCCCGACTGCCCATGATTAGTGCATTGAGCCCCAATCTCTCCACTTCCAAACACAGCCTCTCTCGCATGTCATGATCCTTCACTATGTGAATCTTGTACGGAATCTGAGCATCTTTTATAGGTTTAGCAAGTTCGGCAGCTTTCGAGGCAGTGAAGGCGTCAAAATCATCCTCCAATTTACGCTTTGACCGCTCGCTGCAGTTCTGATGTTGATTGTTTTCACCATCGCCTGGAACCTCGTCATCGGGACTATCAACGGCGGTATTCAGAGAAATGTCGATGGAGCCCCAATCGGCGCCGAAGAGTACAGAGGTAGGGCTGACATGGAGAAGAATAACAGCATCACCGGGGCGAAGGTAGTGTTGGACAGCCCAGCGGACGGAAAAAGCACTCTCTTCAGAAAGGTCGACAGCGACGCCAATCTTGCGTCGGGCGCCACCAGTAGGGGTGGAATTGGCGGCGGTGGCGGTGGCGGCGGCGGAGGGGTGACGAGGGGAGGCCGGATGGTGTATTTTGATGGAGGGAAGTTGGGGGTCAGTATCTAAGGTGGGATTCCGAAGCTGGTGCTGAGGATCCATGGAAAAATTTGGAAGTGGGATTGAGAAATTCAAGAAAATGTAAGCTCGGAGATTTCGGGGGAACTGGTACGGAATGGAAAACGACAGTGAAATGGAGTGAAAGACGAGGAAAATGAGGGGAATGTTTTAGCCGAAGATGCTTTTTTTAATGGGCCATTATTCAATGGGCTTTGAAACGAACGCGAAATCTACATAATCATGGGCCTGCTCTGAACCTTGGCCCAGTTAAATTAATGACTCCTACTTTTTTTGGGAGAAAAAAATGACAGATGTCTATATATATATATATATATTAATTAATTAATGATAACATCATAAACCCGCTGCAAAATTGACATTATAAACCAATTAAAGTATGACCTTTATAACTTTGGTGGAGTTTTCAATTACTTTTAAAATGAAATAAAACTATTTGAATTATAAAAATAAACCGTTACTCAAATTATATATATTAACTTTTAAATATATTTAAGCATTCACACGTGTTTTTTTGTTTTTGTGTTTTGCTCTTCAAATTGTGTGCTTCTTCTATGGTTGAGCGGTTTCGATTTACTTTTAAATGTCTATGATTGGTTGACTTCATTCACGACTTTTAGTATGCCTATTGTTACAAGTCTATCAATAATAGCAATGTATTACTTCTATCACCGATCGGCTACATATGCCAAGACAATTACTACGGATGGGCTAACACTTAATTAGTAGTAATTTAGATTTCAATCACAATATACGTCGTTTATTGGTGATAAAATGTTATCATTGATAAACTAGCATAATAATTATACAAAGTTCGAGAGGATTGCTCTTTTTACTGTTATTTGGTTGATTCTTCCATATTTGCAAATTTCCCGAGTTGCATTAGAACTTTTTGGTGGACAAATTCAAATTGGTTAGGTGGGTGGGTGACCGTAATAGTTTAAATATGGTTCACAACCCAACTCTTTATTTTTTTGATTGAGTTGAATTAAGTTGTCCGGGTTTTCATTTTTTACTGTCTTACTAAAATATTTACTCATCCACGATATAACTCATATTTATAACTAAAATCTCATAAAACTCAAATATTATTAGCATCTACATCAAATATTTTTAATATTCATGAAAACAAGGTTTTCTGTATTGATCTAGCGGAGATAACTAGAATTCAAATATATTCCACTAAGAAAGAAAAAAAAAAATCCAACTTGAATCGTATAATTTGAGTTGGATAATATGAATTAGAGTGATGTGAATGTACATGTGAGTAACAAAAATATTTACATCAGAATTGTACAAAGAGCATTCTTAATTAGCACGGTTTGACAAACTAATCAAACTCACTAAGGTTGAAAGCTTCTACGCTACACATTTACAAGGTGATTTTTATGGAGAAAGAAAACAGAAATTAATGTGAGAATTTCACGGTACTTCCTTTTTTTTTTTCGTGTTGAGAATTGGTACATTTGTTTCTCGTTCATATCTATCGCGAACAAACTCGAAATGACGTTTTTCAAATTCATATTGAAAAATGCATGAAACGCCATTTCGAATCTTTCTGGCGCCATTTGGCAGTTAGGTCAATCAATGTGTGTGATTGAATTACGAACAGCCGAACGATCTCTGTTCAGAAATCCTTCCAGGATGGTTCTCTTCCTGTATTCATCGGAACTCATGGCCGCCGCACTGGCCTTGTCGTCCGGCGACCTGAATCCGATTTCACGGCGGTAAAAATGGAAACAGAGGATCCAAATCGAAGTGCACACAGTAGCTCCGATTTTTTCCCATAAAACCAAGCTTAGAAGACATACCAATAGAACAAACCAACAGCGGGAGGTATTTCTGAGATTAATCTGCCTGAACAAGCGATTCGAGGCAGTTGGATGAAATCGAAATGATATTTCGTTGATTTCCGAGGAGGTAGGAGACGAACTGCAGAATGAGGTGGATGAAAATGGCGCAGAAATGCGCGAAGAACAGGTAGAAGAGTTGCGGAAATTTGGATCTGATGATCTGCTGCTAATTGAAGACAGAAGTTGACGTCTCTGATTCTCCTCATTCGAATTTTCCTTTTGTTTTCGTTTCCTTTTTCTGATCTTCTTCGCCTGCAACACTCAAAGAACATCCGAAATCCGCGCTAGGAAAATCAATCGAATAATCGAAAAATGTCAACCATAGAAAAAGAAAAACAGAGAACGAAATTAGCGTTTCATTTCAAAAGCTGTCAGAATCAGCGGACAAACCAATGAAGTTCCGAATAAGACAGCCTTAAGCGCACGCGACAAAGCACCACCGCCGCCTCCCTTTTTCTGGCGACCAGAAACGTCGCCGCATCCATCAAACGGCTGCACATTGTGGAGCATCATACCGTTTCTCTCTTCCACCGCCATGAACGGAAAAACCTGTTCGTCTGCAGCGTCCATACCTCGCACCGTCCTCACAGGGCTGCTGGAAGCCGTCGATCGGAAACACGGAAAGAACTTCTTCTTCGATTTGGTTGCAGCGAAGGAGTCCATTGAATCTAAAACTCGAAAATCGAAGGTGTTTTCTGTGCAGTTTACGAGGATTCAGCAAAGCGTTTGAGAGGCTAGAAAATCTGATGGAACTGCGGAACAAGGATCCAATGAGGAAATGGGAGGAAACCTGAAGAAGCAGAACAGCTGGCGGTGTGTTCATGGAGGGGATTTGCGTGTGGCCTATGAGTTTTCGAGGGCTAGGGGCTGGCGACTATATAGGGCGCGACTCGTCTGGTTTCACCGTTAAAAGCCATTAGACTAATAATCGAAGTGTCTATTTCTCGTGGACACACAATTTTTTAAACACTAAAATAGATTATTGGCTATTGTTTTATAAAGGCTAAATTATAAATTAAAATATAGCATTAACTTTATAAATATTTATAAAACATAAGAAAATAAGATAACAAAATTAAAATTAATTATTAATTCCTAAAATTAAAATTTCAATATTAATGTTGTTATATATATAAAAATTATCGTATAAGATAACCCGTTCTAAAATTTTAAAAATAAAAGAATAAAAGAATAAATTATTTTAAGCGCAATTTTTTTAAAAACATATTTTTATATCTTAATTTTTTTAACAAAATTGTTTATTTGCAAGTCTATTAATTAATTTTTTTTTACAACGTATTTCAAATATTTTTATTATTTATTATTTTTAAGTGACATTTTTTACGATTTTTTAAAATATTATTTATCATATAAAATCACACTTTAAATTGTTATTAAAAAAAACAAGAAAATAATTCAATCCAAGTGCATTTTAGGTAAATAATGGTTTTTAACTAAATTACAAATACTTTAAATAATTTATGTATATAATAGTTCTCTTAATAATATTATTTTAATTAGTTAAATTCTATACTAAAATACTCCTTTTAAAAATATTACAAAAAGAAAATGGTATTTCAAACTTTTTTTTGTCCAAGATTTTGTATTATAGTTATGGTTTTGAAATATTTATAAAAGATTACAAAATTTAAAATAATAAAATTATATTATTTTAATAAAAGAATATAAACACTTTTTTTTTTCTCCGTGACTGCGTTGCGTGAACCCGTCTCCTTTATCGGAAGTAGAATAAGAAACGAAGACGAGAAGACAAAGAAAATGGAAAAATCGCGCTGTATATAAAAGGCTATGTTTCCTCATCATGTCCCCTGATTTTACTCGCAGTGAGAGCAAGAGCCCATTCAGTTGCTTTCTATCTGCTTAGGGCAAAGGAAAAGGAATCTATTCTTCCTCTTTCCCTCTGAATCATCAACAATCTATTTTGCAGCTTCTTCGGATTTCGCTCCGATGACCTGCACAATGGATTTGCTTCGATCTAATCTGTCGCGTGTTCGGATTCCGGAGCCTACCAATCGCATCTACAAGCAGGAATGCTGCTTGTCCTTCGATACTCCGGTAACATGTTCTCCATTTCTTTTGCTACTGTGGCTACCGCTGTTATTTATTATTATTACTTTTTTTTTTTTGTGCCTTCTCTGTCGATTGCTCCATTTAGTTTCATTGTGCTGGAATTACGGTGCTCAGTAGTCAAGAGCTTTGTTTTTGCCGAGTGCTTGCTTGAGAACTTCATGTGGTCAATTTCCGTTTTGTTCTGAAGAAATGTTAATGAATGTCAAAGGAATAGCGAGTCTTTGCCTGGCTTTGTCGAGGATTGTCATTCATTTGGTTTGAACATTTCGATTACAGTCGTTTTGAAGCTATGATCACCAATGCACTCGTCCAAGTGTCAATTTATGAAGCCTCCCCTGTTTAATATATGTATTTTCTCTATCTCGTAGCATTGTTTCCACATCCTCCTGTTATATTCATTTCAAACGTCCCGATATTTTCCTTTGTCTCTGGCTGTATTTATGTTCACTGTCATTATTGATTGTTCGGAGATAGGTCCATGTATTTCAGTTATACAGTGAGTGGGAGATAACTTGGTTTGAGTGATGCATTAATATAAAAATATATTGTTCATTTGTTCGCTTCGGACAAAAGAAGAAGTGAATACAGATAAATCACCATGAGTGAGCCTAATGGTCAGGAAGAGTCATGTAAGTAATAACGGATTTAGAGGGAATGAGATCAAACCATGGTGGCCAAGTTACCTAGGATTTAATATCCTACAAGTTACCTTGGCAACCAAATGTAGTAGAGTTTGATAGTAGAGTTTGATAGTTGTCCTGTGAGATTGGTCGAGGTAGACGCGAGCTGGCTTGGGACACTCACGGATATTTTAAAAAAAAGTGAATATAGATAACGAATTTGGACTCGAAAGACATTATTATTATTATTTTTAAATTGTACAATTGTATGGAGATTTAATTTTAAATTTGAAGTCTCTTGTAAATCCCAAATGATTTACAAATATGCTTATTCAATTTTGGATTTCTTTACCTGCTCTGTTACAAATATTCCATAATTGGAAACATGTAGTGGATTTTATATCTTCTCTCATACTGCAGACTGAATGCAATTTCATAATTGGCACCAAGAACTTTTAAACATGACATCCATACAACGTATCAGAACATACAAATAAATGGGAGCCATTTATGCTTGTATACTCTGCATGCTCTTACCCAATTTTTAGAAAACAATTTG